ATTTTCAGTGATCCTTTCGTCCATGCGGACAGACGGACATCGCTGTATTGGCTCGTCTTGTCATAATGATCAAGAATATATTTACTTTATAGAGTCTGCCACATCTCCTTTCTGGTGTTACATCCATTCTCAAAAAACTAGTATACCTTTTGGGTACAGGGTATAAAAAGCTATTGGAGCTTTTATTATACTCGTAGAGAAGGATAGTTTTATGCATTTTGAATTTACATCGTCTAGCCCCACAGTCCTTGAAATAAAAGTTCTTCTGATAACTCTCGAAGTGCTTCTTCAAAATTAAAGAAAGTAATGTTTAGCAACAATTGAACAGAACAGTTTTAGTTTTTATGGCATATGTTATGTATGTCAATCGGAGGACAACACTGTTTGGTCTCCCAAGCCCTCTTACTCAGCTTGCATCGGTCAGCGCATTTACATCGCACGTCACAGCGATCGCTGCTATGGTGCAGCAATTCAATACACACACACACACATTGTTACACACTACTATTACAACACCAACATTGTATACATACATACACTTCTGCTGTCGCAAACGCCGCTGCAAAGATTCCGTTACGGCAGCACAAAAGGGAATTGCAAACAATGTGTGTATGGGGTATGAGCATAGCAACAACAACGCATCTACACATTCCGTTATTCGTTGATATATCAATATGTATATTTCTCTCACTACGACTGTGACCACATGGAAAACAAAGGTCATGTCACCCAAGCTTCAGACACAAGCGCCGACACTGAAATAAAAAACGACGAAGACGAACTGAGAGCAGCCACACATCCACGTGTCGTTGGTGTTTCTGTGGTAAATAAAAAGGTGGAAGCTGCTACTTCCAATTCAGAAGAGGGGAACGCGAAACGCACTACAATGTCAGCTGTAGGCAATCTGGAGCCTTTTTATCTGAGTCAGCCCGACAAATGGGCCACATATATGCAACGTTTTGAGTTATTCCTACTGGCCAATGATGTCACGGAGGAGGCGCGCAAAAAGGCGGCATTCCTTACCTTAGCGGGCGCACCGCTGTACGAACTCCTGACGTTAATGGTAGCCCCCAAACAGGTCAGTAATTTAACGCTAGTGGAAATTTACAGAGTACTGACAGATGATTTATCTCCCCGCAAATCGGAAATCGCAGCGTTTTTCCATTTCCATAAATGCGACCAACAACTGGACGAATCTGTTGGCAAGTACATGGCAGCGTTGCAATTTTGGAGCTGCTTTAGACCGCATGCTGCACAATTTTCAGAAAAGCCTGCTGGCGGAGACCGACCTCACATTGCAACGCGTGATGGAGAGTGCGGTAACCAGCGAAGCTGCAGCAATTAGCGCAACGGCCATGAATAATCAGGGCGATTCCAGCCGCGACGATCAACCATGTAACGATGTCCATGGTATTCAAATTGGTCGACCCAAAGCTCGTCAAGGTACCTAAGAGGCCCGCCAGCCTTGCCTTGGATGCGGCAGTCGACATTTTCGGAAACAGTGTCCCCATCGCGACACTGTCTGCCATACTTGCGGTCGAACGGGCCACATACAGCGTGTCTTCCGAAGCACACGCAGGCCTTCGTCGAAGTCATCAGGAACAGTATCCCCAAGTCCAAGCTACCATTCAACACGTGCACGGACATCACGTCAAGCATATAGCCAAAAGTCTGGCGTTCATCAAATACTTTCATTGGTCAGCCAAAAGAAATCTGCATCTGTCGTCATTAATGGTCGAACTTGTCTATTTGAGGTGGATTAAGGATCACCAGTGACCATCATTAAAGAAGTTACATACAGGTACATCTGGCCTAGAGGTTGCTCCAACCTCGTCAAATGTGATGTGGATCTCAGCGACTACTAGCGCAACTCAATACCGGTAAAAGGGGTAGTTGACACGTCGATCCATTACGATTGCAGAAAAATAGATAATTTGCCACTAATTGTTGTGTCTGGTGGCGGCTCAAACCTACTGGGATGCAATTGGTTCGATCCACTTGGCATCCGAATCGAAGGAATTCCTGCTATCGGTAGTGGAGTCAGCATCCAATCGATATTGCGCCAGTTCGAGAATTTATTTTCGTCTAACCTTGGTCGTTACACCGGACCTCCAGTCACCTTACAAATTGATGCTAGTGTAACGCCACTACGACTGCCACCACGACGCATTCCATTTGCAATCAAGAGTTTGTACGAAGAGGAACTTGATCGCCTTTGCTCCCAGGGAATCCTGGTGCCTGTGGAATATTCGGAATGGGCTACACCTACGGTACCCGTAATAAAGAAGGATGGGTCCATTCGCATTTGCGGTGACTATAAATCCACGCTTAATAGAGCCATAAAGCCCCATTGCCATCAAATTCCTGCAATTAACACGCTGTTGGCGTCGATCGAAGGTGGTTCAATGTTTGCCAAAATTGATCTAGCGCAGGCATATCAACAATTAGCCGTCGATGACCAGTCGGCTCTGATGCAAACTATATCTACACACAAGTGTGCATTCAAAGTAACGAGACTATAATTCATCAGCACGAGGAATATTTCAAAGCTGCATAGAAAATATTCTACAAAATATTCCTGGATTATTGCCTTATTTCGATGACATTGTCATCATGGGTAAATCGGAAGAAGAATTAGCGGAAAGACTGCAGGAAGTCTTAGTACGTTTCGACAGAGCAGGCCTACGTCTTCGTAAGGACAAATGCCAATTTGGAGTACCTTCAGTCGAGTTTTTGGGATTTAAAATCGACGCTTTCGGTATAAGACCATCACCTGAGAAAGTAAAGGCAATCCACAACGCTCCCGCACCAAAAAATAAAAAACAGTTACAGGCTTTCTTAGGCCTTCTTAATTTTTACCACGCATTTTTGCCGCATAAGGCTACCATCGCAGAGCCGTTGCATCGTTTGCTGGATAAGACCTCGTCATGGCAATGGAAACACGAAGAAGCTTTTACTACACTCAAACAGTTGGTAGCGTCTGAGGATGTGCTAATACACTACGATGGCACCCTGCCATTATTATTGACATGTGATGCATCGCCCTATGGAATCGGAGCTGTTCTAAGTCAGCGCTTGCCAGACGGAACAGAGAAACCGATTGCATTTTATTCAAGAACACTCTCTAAGGTGGAAAGAAATTATGCACAAATTGATAAAGAAGTGGTCGCACTTATCGCAGGAGTCAAAAAATTTCACAACTACGTCTACGGCCGTCCATTTTCGGATCATCGTCCGCTACTAGGGATTTTCACAACCACAAAATCAGTACCAAACGTAACGTCGAGCAATTTTCCTTCACGCATATGATTTTAGCATTATACATCGCCCTGGAACCAGAATAAGCAACGCAGATTTTCTAAGCCGCTGTCCAATGCCTTGTCGACACGAGCCTGAGTGTACTGAAGAAATCATGTTGATTGAGTGGGCTACCACACCTATCGTTAGCGCTCATACGCTTGCAGCACAATTTGCTAATGACCCGCAACTCTCAAAAGTTCTCAACTGGGTGTTATGGGGATGGCCGAATACCAAAGTTCCGAGCTCCGACAAATTGTACCCATTTAGCACTCGCCAAAACGAGCTTACAGCGAATAGAGGAGTGCTGGTCTGGGGAAACCGTGTGGTAGTACCACACGTAGAGAGAAGCCATCTTAAACGCCTTGCATGCCCCTCATCCAGGGATCCAGGGATGAAGGCCTTAGCACGTAGCTACGTGTGGTGGCCTAAAATCGATGCCGAAGTCGAGTTGTTGGTTAAACGCTGCATACCGTGCCAGCAAAACAGGAACGAGCCAACAAAAACAGTTGCGCATCACTGGGAATCTGCCAAGCGTCCATGGTCCCGTCTCCATATCGACTTCGCTGGGCCATTCCGAGACAACACCTTTTTCTTGGTCGTCGATTCATACACTAAGTGACTTGAGATTACTGCGGTTAAGTCTACATCTACTGCAGCTGCAATTAATTTCCTTCGCCAACTCTTCGCAACTCACGGAGTTCCAGACAAAATAGTTTCGAACAATAATACGGCATTCACTTCCGAAGAATTAAAGTTTTTCATGGATAATAACTTAATCCGACACATTAGATCAGCACCGTTTCATCCTGCGACAAACGGTCAAGCTGAGCGCATGGTCCAGAGTACGAAGAACTACCTCAAGAAGTGCGACCGTAACATAAACATTGACCTTGAGTTGGCTCAATATTTGTTTAACCAGCATACTACCCCACATTCAACAACGAATCGTTCTCCAGCGGAATTACTGTTTAATCGACAAATCAAGACATACTTCGCATACTAAGCATTCTGGGCCAGAAACTACTCCTCTGGGCCCAAGTGGATTACAGGAATGGTTACCCAACAAACTGGGCCCATTTCATATAACGTTCGCCTAAATGATGCACGAGTTGTTCGCCGACATCAAGACCAGCTACGCAGCCGAGAGCTATTAGGATCAGTTCATGATTCTGGCGATGGTGAGGTCTCAATCAACGATTGTGAAAAAGATGTTTCACCGAGTTTCCTGGGACATCACTCGGTGGCACTGGGCACGCCAGCCAACAACCCCCAGAGGATGAATAAAACCCAGCAGATTCACCGGCATTGCCATCTACGCCGCGCCGACGCAACAGACAACCCCCGCAGTACTACAATGCATCTGGGTGTTAGGGGTGTTATGTATGTCAATCGGAGGACAACACTGTTTGGTCTCCCACGCCCTCTTACTCAGTCAGCTCGCATCGGTCAGCGCATTCACATCGCACGTCACAGCGATCGCTCCACCATACAATTCAATACACACACACACGCATTGTTACACACAACTATTACAACACCAACATTGTATATAGTACGTGTAAAATATACTGGAAGTTCTTGCAATAAAAAGTTCTGAAGCTAATTCGACATTTTTGTATACTATGTCCAATTACTTAAAGTTTGTTTATCAAATCTATATCCATACGTATAAATACATAAAAACAAATGTTATTTTTCAGACTTCCAGTGATGGCAACCAAACAACAAGTACACTTTCAATAAATTTGAGTAAACTAGATGCAGGAAAATATTTATCGTGCAAGGCGTATAATCATGCAGTTGTTTCGGAGCCACTTGAAGATGGATGGAAACTTGATATTCAATGTAAGTATAATTTCAGTATCAGAACAATTCAAAACTCTGTACATTATGCGTGCTTGTGTGTGTCTGTGTATGTCCCATGTGCTTGCAAAGCAGCAACAACAACAGCTGCGGGCAGCGCTTGAGCAGAGTGAACATATATACAAGTATGGCTACAACTTCCTTTAAAATCGGCTTATCATTATAAAACTTGGCATACGGACTCCGAAATTCAATGAAAATTTCCAATAAATACGGGAGCTATGTTTCCATAGCCAGTGTTTGCGGTGTAGAGGGGGGAGGGCGGATTTCAGAGAACTGCAACGAGTATGTTCGACCACCCTTGCTGAAAATTCAATCAAATCAGATCTTTGCTTGGCTGTTAACGATCTCGAACGAATTGAGTACTCTCCGAATTGTTCTTATGATCGAACTTGCATGAGCAATCTTTCTATTTTTACGAACAAGCACCGGTTTTGATTGGTTTGCTTTCGAGCAGACCAGGCTCGGTCACTTCGAGTATTCAGCTCGGTGCGAGCAGGTACCGGGCATGATTGGTTTGCTTTCAAACAGTTCAGGCTCGGTCACTTCGTTTAAGATCGTTTGATCGAACGAGTATAGTGCCGTTATTGCTCGAGTATTGTTTGGGTATTGCGCGAGTTATACTCGGGTATTACTTGAGTATTGCGCGGGTTTTACCCGAGTATGTCCGTATAAAAGATGTATGTACATATTTATGTATTTGTACGTGCATGTGTTGTTTTGCAATTATGCGCAAACATGTGTATTGTATGTAGGTATTTTAAATAAATAGGTACAGAATGAAAAGAAAACATATGTTTACATATATTTATTTTTATATTATGATATTTAGCATGATTTTATTTCTTAAAAAAATGAACTCAAATATCTTTAAAAAAAGCAAATTACTTGTAATATAAATTAGGTATTTCTTTTCGCTAATAGTTTTGTTGGCTTCTTTAATTTATATGCATTTACATACTTGTATACGAAGTTACTATTGAACCAATAGCCGAAAAAACATTAGAAAATGCAAGTGCACGTGCACGCGTCGTTGTTCGATTGCCATGATTCGAGAATTACCCAAACTCTATCGAGCATTTCGGACATGCGGGCATGATTGTAAAGACGACGTTCGATCATTGCTTGCACGCAGGCAAAAAGTTTCGGTCACCTTCGCTCATTCTGAGTCTTTGCAGTTCTGAGTCGAACTGACTGGTTGGTGAGCGTTCGTTCACAACCGGCCATTGCTAGAAGTTTCGGTCTCAACCGCTTATTTCTGAGTTTTGCAGTTTTTATTCGAACTGTGTGTTCGTTGAGGGCTCGTTCGCAACCAGTCATTGCTTGTCACTATATGCAAATGAAATACTCATACCGAGTATGGGTAAATACTCGAGTATAACCTAAAATGTAGTACTCGTTGCAGTGCTCTTGCGGATTTACCGGAGAAAGCACCTGTGTTCACAATTTGGGGTCCCTAGGTCTTATACAGAGGTTCCACAGGAATCTTTCCGTCCACAAAAAACGAAAATTAAAAAAAAAATCAATAAAACAATTAAATTTAAAAAAAAATGGAATAAATTAATTAAATGAAATTAGAATACATGTTTATGTACAGTTTTAACAGCATACATTTACACCACGTGCCTATGAGTGTTTATATGTATGCAGCACAAAGTTGAACCAAAGCAACAACAACAACAACAGCTGCGGGAAGCGCTGCCGGCGGAGCTGCAGGCGCATGAGCAGCGATTTTATTTATGGCTATAACTTTCTTTAGAATTTACCTATCATGATGAAACTTGGCACTAACTGGATGTAACTACCAAAATTGATTTCAAAATTCAAAGAATTACGGAATTAAAAAAAAAACAGGAATTGCGGGGGAGTGCGGGGTTATATCAGAATAAAAAAAAAATAAACTTGACCTGCTTAGGACTTAGGGGAGCCTCGATACCAAATTTGGTTATTCTAGCTCTTGTACTTCCTAAGATCCTTGCGCTCCTACGGACAGACGAACATGGCTATATCAACTCGGCTTGTCACCCTGATCAAAACTAGTATAGCCTTTTACCCTTTGGTTATAGGCTATAAAAATAATCATCTCTATATATATAAAACAGTTTGTCCTGACTGACTGATTGGCAATCAACGCACAGCCCAAATGGTAAGAGCTAGGAAGCTCAAATTTGGCCAAAAGTTTTATTTATTGTATAGGTGATCACTAAGAAAATTCGAACGCCAAAGGGGGGAAAACGGGCTCCCAAGATGAACAATCTGCAATTTTCATTTAATTGGCTTCAAACTGGGTTTGTGTAATCTATAAAAGAATTAAACCAGAGAGATAACGCTACAGTCGAGCAAGCCCGACAGTGCAATACCCTGTACCCAGGTAAACTTCCGTCACTGAGTTATATGCGCCCATAGCAGCAGCAAAAAGAGGAAGAAGAAGAGCGAACTTGTTGCTGCAGTTTGTGGTTGTACTGGAGAGAATTTGTTTTGCTAATAACTTTTCTTAGAATTGACCGAATTGGATAAAATTTTAAACAACAGTAGATAATTATAAATAAATTATGTGTGGTTTAGGTAGCATTTGAAATGTGGACGCTATTGACGAAATTCTGTAGCGGGGGAAGGGGGGGAAATTCAAAAAAATAAAATAAACTCGTCCTTTCTCGGACATAGGAGAATCTGGATACCATCTTTGGTTATTCTAGCTTTTATAGTTTCTGAGATCCTTGCGTTCATCCAGACGGACAGACGGACGGACAGACGGACATGTCTAGATCGATTTCTCTCGTCATGCTGATTCAGAATATATATACTTTATGGGGTCGGAGATGCTTCCTTCTGCATGTTACATACTTTGCACAAACCTAATATACCTTTTTTACCCTACGGGTACAGGGTATAAAAAACACTGCATTCTTAATTTTTCACCATTTTTCCTGGGGCATGAAATAGGGGGGTTTTCCCCTGGAAAAATTTAAACACAATCAACACCCCATAGCCTAAACGGTAAGAGCTAAGAAGCTAAAATTTGAGCTCAAGTATCCCATCACCAATCAACTTCAATTTGTGTTGGAGCTTGAATTATTGGGGTTTTAATATTTATTCACTTTTTTAAATGAAAGGTTGGTGTTATACATTTTGTCCGATCGATTTCAACTTTGGGTAATGTAATCTACGTAAATAAATCTACAGCTTTGCATTCAAGGATTTTCAAAATATAGAAATACGGGTCTCGCTTTACAAATTCAGGCAGAACAAACACCATAAAATGCATATGAAACAGTTGGTGACAACTTAGTTACATACACACACACACATACAAGCAGCTATTCATGTAGTTGCGTGCAAAAGATTGAAATAGCCAAAGCAAAATGTGAGATACTAATGTGTGAATGCATGCACACATACATATGTACACATCTACATATGTACATGTACACATCTATGTATGTATGTATGTTCATTCGTCTTGCACTGACCGAGCAGGAAATGTTAATTAATTAAAAACTATTTAACATTTTCAAAAGTAATTTTTTCTTTGTTTAGTACATTTGGCATAAGTGTTTTCATTAATAAATAATAATAATTAATAAATAAAATCGAATTTTTCATTATTCTATACACTAACAAGATAGAACGCTACAGTCGAGCAAGCCCGACAGTAAAATAGCCTGTACTCTCCACAAAAAAAGAAAAATTAAAAAAAAAAAATTTAAAAAAAAATTAAATTATTAAAAAAAATTAATGAATTAATTAATTAAATTAAATTAGAATATATGTTTATGTTTAGTTTTAACAGCATACATTTACATCACGTACCTATGCGTGTTTATATGCGTGTATGTATGCAGCACAAAGTTGAACCAAAGCAGCAACAACAACAACAGCTGCGGGCAGCGCTGCCGACAGAGGCAGCGCATGAGCAGCGATTTTACTTATGGCTATAACTTTCTTCAGAATTGACCTATCATGATGAAATTTGGCACACGGACACATTAGTACTAACTGGATGTACCTACCAAAATTGATTTCAAAATTCCAAGAATTACGGAAGTTATAAGAAAAAACACGAATTGCGGGGGAGTGGGGGGGTGCATCGAAAAAAAACTCAAACTCGTACTTTCTCGGTCTTAGGAGAATATGGAAACCAAGTTTGGTTATTCTAGCTCTTATACTTTCTGAGATCCTTGCGTTCATACGGACAGACGGACAGACAGACGGACAGACGGACAGACGGACAGACGGACGGACGGACAAGGCTATATCGACTCGGCTTCTCATCCTGATCAAGAATATATATACTTTGTGGGGTCTGCCACGCCTCCTTCTGTGTGTTACATACATGCGCACAAAACTAGTATAGCCTTTCACCCTTTGGGTACAGGCTATAAAAATAACACAAAAATGAACGAACAATTTAGGAAAACAGACCTCAATGGCGTACGCAGTTGGCTAGGGGGCCTCTAGAAAAAATGTCGCAATACATAGTCGACCACACATTCATTATTATGGCGCACTATTTCGTCTTAAAATGGATCTGAGTTGGATTTGTTAACATTTTTTTATTAGTCATATGCATAAATTATTATTTAAACACACCGCACTATGGTTTTTTTGCCCGTTTTTTTGGCAGAAACTCGAAACATTAAGATATTTACCCCAAATTTAGTTTGTACGCATATTTTGGTACCTCAAGACGACATACCAAGTTTGGTTCAGTTTGGGCCACTATTTCATATAGCTGCCATATAACCGATATGGCCGACTTTCACTATTTTAAGCATTTTTAACTGTATCGAACCAGAAAGTGGCCTATATTTTGCTCACATGCAATATACTTGTATTTTAGTTCACAAAATATAAATAATTTAATATGAGTTTATTTATATTTTTTTCATTTCCCCCCTCCCCCCTCTTCCAGGCCACAGAGTTTCGTTAATACTGTCCACATTTCAAAAGCTACATAAACAAAACTTTGTAAGACACGTAAT